AAAAAAAAACCAATTTGAAAAAAATTTACTAAACAAACATATATTTAAAAGTGCCGTGTGATTACACAAAAAAGCTCTCCAATGCACCCTTTGTAGCCTATGGATAATCTACTATATCTTACAAATAGAGAATAGAGGTTTTTTTTAGTCGTAACATATTTTAGTGAGTTAAAAAATAAAAATAGATATATATATAGTTTCAAACTACAAAACACTTGTTTTTAGATAAAAAAAACTATTTTTAATACCAAAAACTTTCTCTTAATTCAATGGCAAGTGTTTTGTAATCCAAATTAAAAAATACTTTTTCTTTAATATATACTTCAACAAAAACAGAGTTTTGATCTGATGATAAACAGATAAAGTAATTTCACTAGGCACTCAAGAAACTAAATCACCCATTTAAGATTTGAGGGTATAACTGTTGTAATAACAATAAATAAGGTTGAGCAAAATAAAATTATCGAGTCTATAATAAATTAAAGAGTGACAAAAAAGCGTTCAGAATATCATATGGTCCTACTTTCAATACAAAATTGTTATCAAAACACCACTGGCAATCAGTTTCTGTACATATATAGCAGGATGGTTTTGGATGGGATTGCCAAAGAGTTCAAAGTGTGTAAGTAAAAAGACTAAATCATATCCTCACGGAGGGGAAATCCGTGACAGAGGAGTTAATTTAAGTATATGAGAATGAGTTTGGCATGGTCCCATTAACTACCCTGCTCCTGCCTCTGCTGCATTAGTTTTGCTTCAAGAACTAAAACTGTGAGGTATATGCAACTCTTAGAAGCCCAAAACCTTTGGAGCTAGATTTAACAGAGGCTCCAAAGCACTTGGAGCAAATTTTCTGGCGAACAGATAACAGACCGAAGAAGGTCGATTATTATAGGTGCAATTGCGACCCTTGAAAATTCTCCTAAAGAAGCCGTCTGAGATATCTGCTCCTCCAAATGTTGCTGGATGAGCCCCACCCCTTGACCAGTCCACCCAAGTAATGCTTCTATTTGCCAAGAGATCTGCCGCCTGAATAGTTAACATGGTGGGGAAATAGTGCTCATCTACATAACATGCTGGTTTACAGAATTGTTCAAACTTAGGGTAGTATGTAGAATCTGCCACCAAGTTGATTGCAAGCTTTCTGTTAATTTCAAACCACTGTGAACCCTTCCGCCACTGGGTAATGATCACCTCAGGGGCCATGTTCAAATTGTAACGTCCTCTACCAAATGGCCCAGGGTCATCAAATGCACCCACGAAGCTGTACTTGGATTTCTTTATGTAGTGGTAGATGAAATTGAAATTGTATAGGGGTATGCAAGATTCAGAGAGTAGAATGAACCATTCATTCGATATGTCAAGCAATGCATTAGCAAGGAGCCTTCTCTCTGCATCACACATGCTCATCTTTCCCCACTCTGCGACCTGCAGGACAGCCAAATAAATAGTTCAAATCACTCATTCTAACAACAAAATATCTACTTCCGTTCTGTGAAAGGATAAAAGGAAAACAAATCTCAAGACTTAATAAGACTATGATAAATTTACTCCTTTGCACTCTTAAAATTATTCTTAGTCCTCAACAATAACTAGATGCATACAGGAGTATGATAGATCAAATAAAAGAGCCGAAGGTCCCAATTTTACATGTTTTTCATAAAATAGGCAGAATTTCTTTGATGAGCCTTTATGCATCATCTGGTTTTTTAGGTTCTTAATCAAGCCTATAAATCTTCATATTCATTTAAAAACATTGAAGAAAATAAAAAGGCATAAGACATAACTAGGGAACAGTTGCACATCTTTAAAGAATGTGTGGCAAGACCTACACTAAGAGTCATCTGCCAATCTTTATTTCTTCCATTGGTTGCACAAATATTGTGCAAATCCTGGTCTAATACAGAGGAACTTCCCAGTGAATCAGACACATCATAGAATCAAGACTCGTACTTTCTATCAAAAGAAGGGTCCAAAACAAGAATCATCATTTGAAACCATTCCCACATGTTAGACCATGGCCACGCAATGAGTGTTTCCACCTGATTCAGGTTCTAATCTCTCCCTGTTGTCATACTCTATGGCCAGAACTTATCAAACTTAAAAAGAGTTTTCAGTTCAAGTAGCTAATCAAATGTAACTATCAAATAGTTTGCATAATGCAACATGGTATGAAATATGGATTTTGATCCTCCAATAGTAAATATCACATACGGTTTGGCTGAAAACTAAAGCAACAAACTAACATCGAGATGATTAGAAATAAGAAATATACAACATAAATCAACTAATGTACTACTACAATGGGCAAAAGAAATCCAACAGTATATGAATCAACTAATCTTTTACTAACTTATGGTGGAACTTCTAACCCCTCAAAACCAGAATTCTGAGTGTAAGTGTGCCAACTGCCAAGGTTAAATAAATATGGAAATGTTGAAAAGAAAATACTCAATAGACATGGAAGCTATAAGAATTTTACAACAGAATTTAAGCAAAAGACAAATGCAAAGATAGGTTTACCGTACCTGACTTGGAATTTGTCTCCCATGGAAAACAGAAGTAGATCGAAACTTGCCTTCAAACGATGGCAGTGAATGAATATAGATTGAGTAAAGCCCTTCATACCCCTTGAAAAACCGCTCCCAAAGAGGTGCAAGTGGCATGGGACCCTTAGTGAGGAACATAAATGCAATCTTTGGAACTCTCTTAAATGGGTACATCTTTATTCTAGGCACCAGAGATGCCCTCCAGAACAGCTCTTTATCACTCATATTGTGAAGCAGATTTGATGGAGGTTTTACCCAACGCTCCAAACCATTCAATTCTTCTTCACATGGCACAATACTAGAATTCACTGTAGTCACCACATTATAAATTCCAAAATGCCGGATTGTATATATACTGACGACTGAAAATGCGAGGCACAGAGCAAGAAACAATCCAAATAATTGAAGCACCCTAAAGGGCAAGTTTTTAGCTTGGTTTTGCCTGCTTGTAACAGCAGGATCTTTCCCTTCCTCCAAAGGCATAATTCACCTTCTGGGTCAGATCCAGAAACACCCTTTTCTATCCAAGAACGAAACTTTCCTCACACAATCTCCAAAACCCAGATGCCTTGCGTCTCAGATTCACATTAGATTAACTGGGTCTGAATGCCACCAACTGGGTATCTGAAAAAACAATCAACTCCAACCAACAAAACCTCTCCTAACAGATCTAAAGCTGATACTA